GCTTTATAACCAATAGTTTTTAAATGCTTTCCCAAGCAAACTCTTAGCACAAAGCATCACAAACTAAAATATTTTTTTCCTTCTATCACTCAGTTGAAAGATATGTCATGATCAAAGAGAACACAGAATATGTTACAGCCAGCTTTGATACAGGAGTCTTGGACTTTTCCTCCTTGAACCAGTTCATGATTTATAGTGCTGAGGTCAAATGGACTCAGGAGAAGTCCAATCTAATGCCATAATGCCAAGGTTTGAATTTGGAGACTCCATGCTGGACAGAAGGAAGTCTATCTTGCAGTTATCTCCGGAATACATATTATGCCTTCTGAAGGAAAATAGCTTCAGGAAAGAGATTATCACTTCTCCCTCTGGGAAAAGAACAGACATTGGAATAAGCTCTGTTCTTAGTAAGCCCTGATGTAATTTATATTTTTTCTCCAGTGATCCTAGATGTCCAGAGTCACCTTTGTTTCTGAGCTGTCTATTTTTGTAATGTAATGAAGAGGAGATGACTGAAGAAAAAGATGATAAAAGGAAAATAATTACTTGTTGGTTGATCTGTGTGATCTGAAGAAGTCATTTTTAACTCCTTTTTTTTCTCACTCACACCTGCAACAATGTCGAATTTGGCAAATGTTAGCCTGTTGATATTTTCCAACTTCATCCAATTCTTTCACACCACATTTTAATCCCTTTCATCTTTTGCTTAGACTCTATCCTAACTGATCTCCATTCTTACAGTCTTGTATCTTCCAAATTTACCTGTCTCATTTTTGCTTAAGTGATCTGCACAAAATGAAGGTTGTGCACAAGCACTGCTGTGCTTAAAAAGCTTCAGTAGGTCCCTGTCCCCTGCAGGAGAGAGCCCAAGCCTGTTATTGCAGTAAACGAGGCGTTCTTTGCCCATTCTGTCTTCTACAGCTCATGACCCAGGGAAATTAAGGTAGCTATAATTCCCTACTCTGCCATATTCTTTCTTACTTCCTTATCTTTTTTGCCTACACAGCTGTCTTTTCTTCTTTGTTTTATCCTCCTCGCAGTACCCTATCTCACCTTCAATCTCAACATACACTTTTCCACCTGCCCTCAGGCCCACCATGAACATTTACCCAGAGTGAATTTTGCTTGGTAAAAAGTGGTCCGATCAACATGTGCACCTTTCTTCACCTTTCAGACCAGCAGCAGCTGGTTTCCCAGTTGGCCCCAGAAACTGCAGATCACCGTGCCACTATTTAAAAACTAATTGTCTGTTTCTGTACTCCACCCCCATCAGACTGTGAGTTGCCCAAGGAGTTCATTTTTGGGAAATCAATTTCTATCTCCCATGTGTATTTAGGGACGATGTCACACCCTGAGTTAGACGAGACACTCTAAGCAAACTACTAGAGTTTGGGTGCTGGAGCTTCGCCCTCCTTGCTCTTCCCACTCTCTCTGCACCTGGCTGTGGGTGCGGGGCAGGAGGAAGCCAAGATGGGAGCCATCTGGGGTTTCTCTCCGGCCTCACTCAGTGTCCCCACCCACACTTCCTTTTTTATCCCCACAAAGAGTCCTTTTCTCATTTTTTTCCTTATATCAGCTCTCAGAGCCGATCAGAAGGAATGTGGGTGCCCTTTAAATTAGAACTCAAATCATTAGCAGCAGAAAGTTTCCAGAGGTATTCAACAAGCAGAAATATAAATGCCCAACCCGCATTCTCTGAAAAGGAGGTCATTCACTGGCACTTCCTGCCCTTCCATCAGAACTGATCCTATTCTAGGTAAAAGGAAAAAAATCTAAACAAAAACAAGTTGGATTTCCATATCAAGATAGTTTGAACTTTTATATTCTGTACATGTTTATTTTCCAGAGCGTTTCCAGAGGATTTGTTGAATGAATAGTAAATGAGGCTAAAGTTGTTGCAACACAGGGTTTGAACAGGATTTAATGGCATGGTAGTGAGACCAAGCCACCATTAGAAACAATATAGTCAGATCACCATCTTTCACTCAGCAATCACTTAATGGGTTCCTGTTAGTCTCACAATATTATTTACAGAAGGGTAACATGTGATTGTTGCTCTTAAGCAACTTGGGAAATAGGGCTGAGAGGAAAACAAATGAAATTTTAAAAAATAGTCAAATTGAAGAATATTTAGCAAAAGGCATTCAAAAGGTAAAACTTGGCCAAATAGCAAACAAATGATATACACAGTAATTGTCTTGGCCCTAAGTTGGGAATGGTCCCATGGAGTTCGTGGGTGGAATTCAAAAGTGGAACTGCTCATATGTGTTCCAGGGATGTTGCCTTAAATGATCTGGCCAATTAGGAGTGATTTTGTTTGAGGAAATGAAGTTGGAAAAGCCCGTGAAGATCTATGAATTTGAGGGTAGGTGATTAGATTTCATCTGTTAGGCTACTGCTTGGCAAACTGGACTGACAGTTTTAAATCACCTGGAGAAACATTCAAAGTGCTGAGACCCTGGGTCTTATACCCAGAGATTCTGATTTAATTGGTCTAGCAACCAAGGGTTTTTAAACTGAATCTTAGAATCAGCTTAATTCTAGCTTTTAAGACAACACCAAAGACAATACACAGACTAGGAGAATATATTTGTTAATCATGTACTATCTGATAAGGAATTTGTTTAAAAATATCAACAAACTCATAAATCAATAAAACAAAAACAAACCCATTATAGGTGGGAAATGATCTGAATAGACATTTCTTGAAAAGGGATATACAAATGACTAGTAAGCACAGAGCATCATGAGTCGTTATAGAAATGCTAATCAAACCATGATGAGGTACCACTTCATTAACATGAGGATGGCTGTAATAAAAAAGAGGGACAATAACAAGTGTTGGTAAGGACATGGAGAAATTGGAGCTTGTATACACTGCTGGTGGAAATGTGAAATGGTGCAGTTGCTTTGCAAACAGTTTGGCAAGTTCTCAAAAAGTTGAACTGAGAGTTATAGTGTATGACCCAGAAGTTCCACTCCTGGTGCATACCTAAGAAAATAGAAAGCACACCTTCACATAAAAACTGCTACACAAACATTCACAATAGTTTTATTCATAATAGCCGGAAAGTGATGAATAGAGAAACAAAATGTGGTACAGGGGGTATTATTTAGTCATTAAAGCAATGAAGTTGTGATATATATTATAACATGGGTGAGACTTGAAAACATTATAAGTGAAAGAAGCCTGATACAAAAGGTCACACAGTGAGTGTATGAGCCCATTTAAAGGAAATGTCCTGAATAAGCAAATACATAGATCCCAGAAGTAAAATAGTGGTTGCCTGAGGTTGGAGAGAGAAAGAAATGGAAATAACTGTTAATGAGGATGAAGTTTTCTTTTAGGGTACTGAAAACATTTTGGAATTAGGTAGAAGTGATGCATTCACAATTCTGTGAATATATTAAATTTAAAAAACACTGACTTTTAAGCATTAAAGGGGTAAATTTTATGGTCCTTGAATTATATCACAATGAAGTTGTTACCAAAGTAAAAGGAAAGAAAAACAATAAAGAAAAGAAAAGAAAAAACAATATTATCAACACTTTCCCTTCTGCACACTCCAAGCAAGACCAATTCAATCAGAATTTTTGGGAATGGGAGGACCTAGACATAGGTATCCTATTAAAGTCCCCTTATAGCAGTCTATATAGAAGACAAAGAGCTATTAAGCATATAATTCTATGCAGCTCCCTTCTACCCAAAGCAAAACTAAAAAAAAACCCAATGCCCCCATCCCACATGAATTCAAACCCAGATTAAGTTTTAAATTTCATTTAAATTGACTCTGATCCTGTTTCTTCAGTCTAGGTATTGCTTCAAATAATCTTTTATTTAAAATGCAAGTGTGTAGATAATTATTCACATACCCCTAAAACAATCACAAAAAATGTTTATATTGAAATTTGAATCAAAGACAAAAAATTGTGTCAGAAGGAAGTTTGTAGTCTCTCTGGTTGTGAGGTTGATTGTCAGTGCTTGAGTGATCTGTTTCTTAGGTGGTGTGGCCGAGTTGGGATTTAGTTCTGGTTTTGCACACCATTTGCTCTGGATTTTTAGGCAAGCTACCAATATTTGTAGGCCTCATACAGTCATTTAGAAAAAAAAAGAAAAGAAATATTTTGTCAAGTGCCAGCGATGGAGATATGGTAAGAAACTGTCAATATATTCTCTTTTTTTTTGGAGTTGGTAACATAGCTTCAGTTTCTTTGCTTTAAAGGGAGAGATTGAATTAGGTGATCTCCAGATTCTTTGATCTTTTTTAGATACTATTTTTGTTTGAGACAAATTCTCCTTATGTATGCCAGGCTGGCCTATAATTTGAGGTTTTCTGCCTCAGCCTCCTGAAGTGCTTGGATTATAGCCGTGTGTCACCATGCCTGGGTTCTTTGAACTTTTATTTGGGTAATTTAAAGATAGAAGATGACCAGAGAGAGAATGCTCTTGGTTCCATCCTGTGTGGTTTAAGAGAATGAATATGTAAATTTTTTGAGGAGGCTGTTCTCTGAATTTGTCATAGAACAGAAATTAGAGCAAACACTTCGGTTTACATCTTTTCGTACCTTTTTAGCCACTCTTGGACTGGCCAAGAAACAAAGTAAAAATGTTTCAAAAAATTTTAGTTTCTTTACAAACTTAAAAAAGAACCTGTTTCACAATTTAAAAACAAATCTTTTTGTACATCTGTGTCAGGCTTTAAAATTGCTTCCAAGTACATCACTTAATCAAGAAATCTGTCCAATGCATGATCAACATCTTAGGAATCTCAGTATGGCTTCAAAAATTCTGAGTGCATACTTGTAGTGCTCTCTGTCAACAGAAGATCACATCTTGCCTTTAGCTGAAAATATGTTCTATTGTTCCATTCAAAGGAAGATGAAAATATTATAAAAAAGAAAGCCTTTGCTGGAGGTCTGTTCATTTGGTTCATGACTACATCTTGATTTCAGGAAGAAAAATGATTCTTATCATCTGTTCTAATGCTTTTTCTCCCCAGAAAACAAGATTTTGGTGAAGCAGTCGCCCATGCTTGTGGTGTACGACAAGGAGGTCAACCTTAGCTGCAAGTACACTTACAATCTCTTCTCAAAGGAGTTCCGTGCATCCCTGTACAAGGGCGTGGATAGTGCTGTGGAAGTCTGCGTTGTGAATGGGAATTTCTCTCATCCACTTCAGTTTCACTCTAATACAGGGTTCGACTGTGATGGGAGTTTGGACAATGAAACAGTGACTTTCTACCTCCGGAATCTGTTTGTTAACCAAACAGATATTTACTTCTGCAAAATTGAGGTCATGTATCCTCCTCCTTACCTAGATGAGAAGAGCAATGGAACCATTATCCATGTGATAGGTAACATGCAACTTTACCTTGATACCACACCCATATCACATTTTCAACAGCAGCTCTGAAAATTAGGTCAGGACCTCAGTGAAGCTGCAGTGACTTCAAGGGTTCCACACCAATAGAGGCCCATCAAATCATGATACCAAAAACGTTTTCATTTATTCTACAGAAAACTCAAAGTAAAAGATTCAAAGTTTTATATATATATATATATATATGTATATATGTATATATATGTATATGTGTATATATATATGTATATGTGTATATATATGTATATGTGTATATATATGATTCACATTTTTTATTGTACTGGGGGGTTGAACTCAGGGCCTTTGCACTGAGCTACATTTCCAACTTTTAAAAAAAGTTTTGAGACAGGGTCTCATTAAGTTAAATTTCCCAGGGTGGGTGTGATCTTGAGATCCTCCTGTTTCATCCTGCCTGGGTGCTGGGATTACAGACATGTATATTACAGGCATGTTAAATTTTGAACACCCTTACTTCTCCTCACTGACATCCAGTGGAAGAGTAAAGGATGAAGTTACAGTCTATGCGAAGAGGTCACAGAAGAGTATTCTTAATGCAAGTGGGTCACGGCAGAAAAAAGTTCGCATTAAAATGAAGCCCAGGTGCCCTTCATAAAGCAGCTGGGTCTAATGGATCAGGACTCAGGAAGAATGAGTCACATTTCAAATTAATTCCCTTTTTGTGCTTCACGGCTTTCCTCTGTTACGTACCTTTCCATTTCCTGAAACATACAAAGGATGCTGGACTAAACGTCAGTAATATGAAATTCGCTATTAAACAACTCAGTGATCTTAGATAAGTTGCCCAACATTTTTATGACACCAACCTCAATATTACTAAATAGCATTCATGAGTGATTGGAGCTGATGTAGAGATTATGTTGTCTTGAAACACTGGGGAGAAAAATAGCCTAAGATTCCCAAACTCAGAAGAGTACAGCTTGCTGGGTCAACACTTACACATGAGAGAGGTCAGACAGATATTCTGATACACTTTGCAGATATACTGCAGCTTTTACAATGATAAAATCTATGCTACATTTTATAAAAAATACTAGCATAATTTCAATATGTGCTTTCCTGCTATACGAGAACAGAGCTGTGCTGAAAAAAACCTGAGCACTAAGTAATGCAAAATAGAGGCAATTAATGAAAGAATATTTTGCTTGCCTGGTCCTATGTGGACTTCTAATATCTATAATGTCCAGGCAGAATATTTTGATTAGATAGTCCAAGGCTAAAAAAAATGTAATTTTGAAAGCTCAGACTAAAACATTTTCCCATATAAATAATATAATACTTTAAGGTAGTATTTTATAATATATACATATACTCACAGTATATCATTTACATTACAATTGGGAAGAATACCAGTGATCCTGGATTCAGTAATTTCCAGTTCTTTTTTCATATTATAAAAAATGGATGGGGTTAAGAAAAAACTGATGCTTGGGCCCAACCTTGACATTTTGAGGTAATTAATGTGTGCTGAGGAAGGGGCACTGGACAATGTTATATTTTCAGCTTTCCTCAGATAATTCTAATAGGCCTCCGGGATTAGAAATTAGTGGACCAGAGAAATTTTGGGGAGTATTCTTTCTAGTTATAGCTTTCTCTGATTTTTGCATAGAACTCTCTGGGCTTCTTATCCCCTTTATAATACCCAAAGATATAAAGTAACTTGCTATATGATATAACCCATTAGACAGAATTGGAGCTAGATATTTATAGTCTGATTACTAGACCAGTGATCTGTCATAGTACATGGATGATTTTCTTAATGCTTAAAATATGTACATCATTTAACTCATTCCAAAGATATAACTTAGGGTCTTTTGATAAGGGGAAAAGAGTGGGGTTGGGTTAAGAAGTCACCATTTTAAACACAGTAGGTTCAAGAAGGTCAGCAGTATGCAATTCTGGAATGTACCACCCTGCAGAATGGTTCTCAACAAATCAGTATACAAAAACAAAAACAAAAACAAAAACAAAAACAAAAACAAAAAAAAGATCAGTATCAGAGGTAGGGCTGGATAAATCTCCAAGAGCAAGTCTATACCCTGTAAACTAATAATAATTTGCATATTTTTATTTCTTTCTCATTATTTGATGTTCAGAAGGAGGAGAATGTACTTAACTGCCTTTTCCTTACCATTTAATCCACTCCCTTCTGTTTTTCAGAAAGGCACCATCCACATCGCTGTGTTTTCCTGTGGCCTGAGTCTAAGCCCTTTTGGGCAATGATAGTGGTTGGAGGTGTCCTGGCTTTCTATAGTGTGGTAGTAACAGTGGCCTTTTCTTTATACTGGGTAAGAGAAACAGCACTTTTTCATGTAATTTTCCAGTGCACATGCAATCTGAACACATCAAGAACTTTGTCTGTGTGATTTGTTGTCTGTTTAACATGTGATTATCATTATTTTATTTTCCATGCCAGGTTTGAGTAGGCTCTTTTAGTCTGTTCAGCTTTATCTGAAGCAACAACCTGATGTGAGTTCTACTTTCCAGAAGGACCTAAGTAGGTAGCCAGGCAAAATAAGAAGCTGAGTGGTTAAATTAGGATGGGGATATTAAAGTCTTTGCTTTTTCCCAATTTTCAACATAACTATGGCACACAAACAACTTCAGTGCACACAAAGGCATACAAATTTAGGCAACTCAGAAAGCTCGGCAACTGAACACTATGAACAGCTTTGGTTCAGGGTCAAAAATCATGAGCAACTTGAGTACTGAAATTGTATATTCAAACCTAGAAGAAACTAGATCTGTTTATCTCAGTCCTACTTTTTGTCTGTCTGAAGCAGATGGATTGTGTGAGGCCACAGAGGGTGGTGTCATTATGAAACTACAATGGGAGTTAGACTTTTCTGAGATCTCACTACTGAGTTCGGGTTTACCAGTTTTTGCAAGTGCTCATGCAATTAGCAGTATAATTTTCTTTGTCTTCCTCAATGTTAAGCTTTTGGCCCATGTTTGAACACATTCCAATAAATGTACCCACTGTTAAGAAAGGACCTCATTAGTAAGAATCTTTTCCTCAGAATGTTCTTTGCTATTGTACACAGTGTGGTATAGAATACCTCGTATATTGCTGTCATGTCATCTTTGAATTGTTTCTAGAATTTAGGTGCACATGAGTAATTTCTTCAATGAGAAATGTTTGCTTCTCAAGGAAAAGGGCTATTTCTGTTGTTATTCTCAAGCCATTTAGTGTTAAGAATGTTTAGTGCTTAATGAATGCTTATTAGATTAATAAATGTTTAACCCTCATACAAGGATTTAAGTAAGCCTTTCTGAAGTATTGTACTCATCATTAAGGCCCAATCCTTACATTTAACTAAGCCATAAATGGTCAGTGACTCCAGCAAGCAATGCCATGTGAAGCCATCCTATGTTGTCCTGTTGCAGGGGATAGTCCTGGATTCAGTCATGCTGTTCTATCACCTTGGCTTAGATCCATTTGAATTCTTGTGGGCTTATTGCCAGAGCTTGCCTCTTGCTTGTCCCATATGTTCCTTGCATTTCAGAAGACCCTAAGGGGCAGATGGACATGTGTGGGCTGCCTGTTGCTTAATCTGTACCTTCTGCCAGGCAGGGAACAGAGTGGCTGCTTGTTCTTAGGAATTCTTTATATTAGATATCAACTTGAGAATTTGCCTGGCTTGGCTTCTGAAAGTTGCCCAGTTCTGATGGAGGAAGAAGGGTTTAGTATGAAAAGATATTGCCTAAATTCTGCCTCTGATATTAAAAAGTTAAGTACTTTCATCTTTCTGAATCTTGGGGTCTTTGTCCCAGGTACCTTTCTGCTTTGATCTTCTGTGGTGGTTGCCAATGATTTTAGAATTTTTTTTCAGTACTAGAAGTCAAAGCCAGGGGTGCTCTCTTGTTAAGCTATACCCAAGCCCTTTTTATTTTGAGATAGGGTTTTGCTAAGTGGCCCAGAAAGCACTTGAACTTTCAATCATTTTACCTTCCCTCCCTTAGTGCTGGGGTTACAGGCATGTGCCACTGTACCCAGCTGGATTTTTGGAATTCTTAGTTCTCATTTTTCATGATCCCTGGTCTTTTGCATTAACACTTGCTGTGTGACTTTCTCACCTTCTCCTTGGGAATCTGAACTTTCTAGCTTACAGGCCAGGTGCAATGGCCTTTTGAGTACCTTTCCAGGAAAGGTGCACCTCTGATATGCTGACCTGGGTCAGATTAATTTCTTAGCATTGCAGGAAGTAGTTTTAATTGTTGCAGCTTTCATCACCTAAAAATTGCTGTAAATATGCATTAGAATGTCAGTTGCTAAAATGAGACACTAATTTGCTGAGCAACTAAAATCATCCAAAGAAACGAAAGCAGTTTCTCGTTTTCAATTCAAACGTATCATAGACACTATTATTTTTCTTTGGCAGCACTATTAATTGATGCTACATTCATCTTGCTTTGTCTTAAGAAAACATATTTTGGTCTATCTCATAAGCTTCCTGTGAATGGGTAATATCAGTCCTTGGCAGGTCTTGTCATCTAAGGGCTCTTATAGTCAGTTATCTAACATGAACATCCTTTATTTTCATCTGAAATCTAGACCTTTATATTCTCTGATCAAAGTGTATAAATAAAAATGTATCTGCATTTCATAGATTAGCATAGCAGTTTTACCGTGAAGTCATCTTTTCTTGTTGCATCTTTTGCTGTCTAAACAATGAGTGTCTTTAGGTCCCTAGGCCAGTAGACATTCCCAGAGTTTATTAGCCCTTGCCTGGGTAATTTTCTGGGATCCTATTTTTGGCTGGTCTTTATTTGCTTTGGTGTAAATTGCTATTTTCTGGAACTTTTGAGGGCTTGGGATCTGCTACTCTAGGCAGTTCTAGGCTGGGTGGGTTTCTGGGAGCAGCTGCAGGTTCTATCTCTATTCTTGACCTGATGATGACATTTGAGTAAATAAAAAGCTTCTCTTGGTCAGGCTGCCATAGACCAGCACCTGTTATTCTCTGTCAGTTTTTTGTTCACTTAGCTGAGTTAATAAACATGTTCTCTTTCTTAGTCTAAAGGAACCTTTAAAAAATATAGTCTTCTTTATGCCTATAGAATGCAATGTGGGGAAGCACATATTGTATGTAGAGGCAGCATCTGCCTTTAAATCCAGCAGATTCTTGAAGACCATTCCTTTCATTCGATTACTTTACCTATGCCCTGCATGCTGCTGCAGCTCCCAGGAAACAAGTGGGTAAGGAAGAAGTGGGAGGAAGGGAAAAGGTCCTGCAATCACAAGTCTAATAGCTGTTGACTGGTAAAGGGGTGGAATAGGTGATATAGACACGTGGACACATAAGGTGTTTAGTCTGTGCACACTTATGTGTATTTACTAGATGCACATAGACATCGTGTGTCCTGGATAGTATTTTCAGCATGTATGTGTCATTTCCATCCCATTTCTGTGATTAGAATCAGGGTGAAGCTAGATAAATCTACCATCTGATAACAGTGTGAGGGTGATCATGGGATCTGGCTATCATGTATCTTTCACTATATTTATATGTGACTGGAATAGCCCAGTGTCAAAATATCTATATCAGTAGGGTCTCTCTACCAGCTATAGTCTAGTTCAGCCGAGCACTTAAACTTGAGGATTCTGCAAAAGGATTCGTGAGTATTGTAGTAAGTACTAAAACATGCTTCCTAAGGTTTTGTCTTCTACACTTCTTTGGGGGCAGACGTTTCTTTGGCCTTACCACTGCCATGCTACAACCCTATGCCCAAGGAGTTCTAGTCTTTTATTTTATATAAAGAATGTAGAACCAAGGTATTTGAAAAGCAGCATCACCCATATTCTTGGTTTCCATGAATATCTCTATCTGAATGACTTTCTCATGTATGTGTTTATGATTCTATCCTTTCTTTTTAGTTCAAAGTGGATAATCCATCCATCATCTCAGATCTCAAATGACTGAGGGTAAATTTATAGCCTTTCAAATCTCCTCTTCTTACTGTCTTGCTTTACATCTATGAATGGAACACCATCCTTTTAGTTGTCTAGGTTTAAATCATCAGTCATCTCTGGATTTGGGCAAGGGAGGGTTAAGCAGTATTAATTTCATGATATATTCTGTATCAATTACTTTTTTCATCCAGTTCTTTGTCATGATCCAACTGTTTAGCTCAGGATTTCCTAGTATTAGCACTATTGACATTTGCCCTTGATAGTTTGATGTAGTAGAGTCTGCCTTGTGGACAGGAGGGCATTTAGCAGCATCTCTGACTCTACTCACTAGATGACAGTAGTGTCCCTTTCTGCCGTGACAACCAAAAAATGTCTTCAAACTTTACCAGATGTTCCCTAGGTCAGGGTTGGTAAGGGAGCTCAAGATGTCAAGGGTGAGGCTTAGGAGGTCGTCTTGGGCAACTGTACACAAGATAGTTTCATTTGCTGTGATGAGTAGCACTAAGGGAAAAGCAGATTCCCAGGGGAAGATCTTGAGTTTCATTTTGGACATATTGAGCATCGAATGTTCTTGCGGTCTAGTCTAGAAAAAAACGGTGGCAGCTGAGGCTGAGATTATGGATGAGATGAGAGAATAAAGGGAGTGGCGGAGAAGGCCAAGGACCAAGCTGTGAGAAATTTTAACCTTCAACGGCTAGAAAAGGATGAGCTTGCAAATGATGAGAATGACTAGAGAGATAGGATGAAAACTGGGATGTTGCAGAAGACAAAGAGGAAGAGTGTTGTAAAAGGACGGAGTAACTGATAGTACAGTCCTCCCCAGTACCACTTGGGACTGGCTCTGGGACTCCCTCATATATCAAAATCCATGGATGCTCAGGTTCCTTATTTAGAGTGGTGTAATATTTACACATACATTGCATCATCTCTGGGTTACATTTAATACTCGAATATAATGTAAATGCTATGTAAATAGTTGTTGCATTGTTTAAGGAGCAGTGATTTAAAAAAAAAACAAAACAGTTTTGGGGAATGTTTTCCCTCCATAGACGAAGAGCCTGTGGAAGGTTTCCAACTGTGTAGATTGCTGCTGAGAATTCAAGAAGAACTGAAAACACATTACTTGCATTTAGCAACATGGAGATCAGTGTTTTTTAAATCCTTTTTTGGGAGCACTTAATCATGCTCCTTTGACAAGGAAGTGGAGAAGGGCTCTTGCAGGAGTGAATGGAAACGAGGCCAGGATGGAAGTCATTCATTCACTGATTTCTGCAGGGATTCTTGTCATGCATGGCTGTGTATCTACTTACTCATCCGCATCAGGCCTGTGTGCCAGAAAATAGGCACTTTTCTTCCATAGGAGACAATTTTGAATCCAGAAATCCAGATGGCAATTTTTAGAATTTTTATATCTGTAGTCAAAAATGTGAGTTAATTAGCCCATTAATCCAGAAATTATGCTTCTAGCCCCAGGCAAAAACTTTGCCAAGATTCATGGTAAGTGTAACATCATGGTAAGTGTAACATCCTAGTTCCCTACCACTGGTGGAAATTCATCCTGAGGGTGGGGTGTGGAGTGAAGATAGGTGACACTGTTGTCTCTACAGGATTATATTGACATAAGGGATAGGAACACAACCAGTTGTTCAGAATTCTAATTCTCATTGGTTTGGATTCCACTGTTCTGAATTTATGATTATTCCAGACTCTGGAGGAGTTGAAGGTCCTTTTTGGTCAACTATGGAAAAGGGCTTGTTAAATAAATGACCAATATAAGATTACAGTGGGAATGCTTAATCTCCCCATGTATTTAAATATCAACAGTGAATATGTTATGCTTTTGGAATTCAGGTCAAATGACAGCATTGAGAGTTGCACGGGTATATTTCTGTAAGACATTTCCTTTGAATGAGAAATTTTTCAAGTTAATTTACAATAGCCAGCAGTCAGTCATTGTCCAAGTCCAGTGTCCTTAAGAAATGCCATTGTGCAATGTCATTTCACAGCTGATGTTCCGATTAGTTGTCCCCAAAGTCTTAGAGCTCTTGCTATGACATTTCCTCCATACCCTTTCACACAGACACTCCTCTTTCCTGCAGATGAAGAGCAAGAAGACCAGGCTCCTTCAGAGTGACTACATGAACATGACCCCCCGGCGGCTCGGGCCCACCCGCAGGCACTACTACCAGCCCTACGCCCCAGCGCGGGACTTCGCAGCCTACCGCTCCTGACACAGAGGCCTATCCAGAAGCCAGCCAGCCGGCGCACCTCCATCTGCTCTACACCACTGCTCTGGATAGGAAAGGACGGCCTCCTCGGTAGCCGGCCACCGTGGGCCCTTTTTGGGCACTAACGCCAATTCTCCTTGAGCACCTAGTCCACATAGCAATGATCATCTTGAGACTCTGATGTGAAGTTAGAAATTTCCTGTGGCAGGCTAAATTTTGCAGTGCCGAAATGTAAATTCCCAAATTCACATTTATCCTATATTTATTGACTTGATTGAGATGTTAGCGTAGAAAACAAAAAATGAGCGGATTCTGTGGGCCTTCTAATCTGCTTCCAGACTGCTGACTGAGCCCCGCCCCTTTCCCTCACTCAGGCCTCTCAGTCAGGCAGAGTTGATACCTAAGGGTACTTGCACAGAAATCACTCTTTTGTTAAATGGTTGTTTGCAGGGGGGATCGATTCGAATGAGGAGAGGGTAGAGATACTTAAATATTTTAAAACCATTAAAACACTGTTTCCTATGTATGCAATGAGCCACTTCTTTCCTATTTAATACTGTCCTTTTTTTTTGTCAGCTTAGGGAGATGTAGATATTGTCTTTGAAGAATTCTGACCATATTTAATAATTTTGACCAATGGAATTCCCTCAAAGCAATGCTAGGCAAATCGGCTTGCTTGCTTTACTCCTTCTGATGGGAATTCAGTGTTAATGTTCACAACATGATTTCAAAAGGATGAAATACTCCTCCTCCACACACCATGAAGAATGTGTCAGGAAATAAGGTTACTTTATACTAAAAATAGTTGAAGGCTATGAAGGGTTATTTGTTTAAGAGCTCATTCCAGTCAAACTGCATCTGTTTCAGCTTTGCAGGGCTGGTCTCTTTATTGTCTGTGTGGAGATGTGAGGTGGGGAGGCTGACAGAGCATCCACAGGAGATAGAAACAGTGATGCTCTGGAAAGGGGATGTTATCATTTACTCATTCATGAGTTCCAAGAAATTTCTCCTGAAGGAAGGAGAATGGAAGAGAGTGAGGCAGTTTTTACCATGTGCTAAGCAGTGGCTGGTGTTGGGTGGAAGTTTTCCAGAAGGCACCAGAAGAAGGATCTCTGGAGAGAACTCCTTCACAGGGACTTCAGGTACTCTGGGGTTCAGAGTTACAGAACTCTGTGAGCTCAGCTGCTTTGTGTGCTCTTGAGGTCCATTGATCTGGAAAAGTGTTTTGGAGACAATTTAAAGTTCTCAAGAGGTTCTTCAAGGCCCAACTCTGGAATGACCATAGATATTTCCCTGCCTTCAATTTGGGTCAGTGGAATATGCCTGGGGACCTTGGAAAATGGCTCTTCTGTCATCTTTATGAGCTGTTCAGTGCTTTGGTTTATCCAGGTGTTGGAGAAGCCTGGTTTTTAGGGGTAGATAAACCTGGTTCAAATCTCATTACTAGTTGAATGGCCTCAGGCAAGTCACTGCTAATGCAAGATTAGTTTTTCAACTCTAAAATGGAAAGTATGATCACAAATGTCTGTTCCTACACTATAATCTCCATGAGGGTATGACTATGTCTGTCTTTTCATTACTTGTCCCTGGCATTTAGTACCATGCCAAACACAAAATGCTAGCTCTCTCTCTATCTATATATCTATATATATATGCACATTATGTATAAAAGTCAAACTGGGCAATGACCTAAGAAGGGAAGGAAATATTAACATAAATCTAAATTAAAATTTATGAGGAGCTAACTTCCATCAGTCTCCTGTTTCTTAGACTATTTTATCTTGTGATAAAACAGGGCATTTCTCCTCCACTTTTTTGTATATAAGAAGGTTTTAACATTTTTTTTTTTTTAAATGTGGGGGAGTAGGAGACAGGGAGAAATCTTTTGGTTCCAGACAAGAAATATTGTACTCTGGCTGATTTTTAAATTGACTTCCTTCCACACATTTAATTAATTCAAAGAAGGTCAAACTCAGATACTGGGGTGATGAAGGACTGTGGAGTACGGACTTGCATTTGTACCAGTGGCAGCCTCTCGGTACACAGAGTTCTTCAATCTGAGTCATCAAACTGTGCTTGAAAATGACAGAGCTGGAGAAGTTTTAGAAGGGGCTGTGACAAATAAATAATATTTTTAAATGGAAAGATTTGATCTTTGGTAATACACGGTTTTGTTTTTCTAACTGGAAAAGTAGGTTTGCCAAAGATGAATCACACTTGAGATTTTCTTACTCGCAACAGAACTGAAGTAGAAATGTTATAGGGAAGTCCATTTTCACTTTTAGTGTGAACCAAGAACTGATGTAAAAATGGTGGTTGGAGTAATACTTTTACATTTCCAGGTATGCTAATTATAAAGAAAACAATGTCATTTGCTGCTATTATTGTAAGAATCTCATAATTAATGGTATTCCTGGAATTGTGAACTCACCTATTTGGGGCTGAGCATGCCAATTTAAAGAGACCAAATGTACTTTACATTCTATGTCTTGAATGATAAAATTATTAGACTATTATGTGTCTGTTTTTAAATTTGTGCTTTAATATTGTCTTTTAGGGAAGATATACCTCATTTTGACAATGAATCTAGAGGAAGTTTGCCACTTACATGAGGTGTGGGATAAATTCTTTTACAAGTGTGATTTAGTCTTTTTTTTTTTAGGCCAGACATTCACATATTAATTTCACCTCAAGCAAGCTACACTTCCAATTTGTTTGCTTGGCTCCAGTCACAATTTCTCATCAGACCAATGATTTGCCCCACTTAGACGTCAGGCTGGGCTTACCCATGCATTCTGCATAATGTGAGGGCTCTGTGAAAGAGTTTCAACTGCAGTCTTGAATCCATCGTTCGCTCAGGTTAAAACTAAATGAGTTATCAGTGTGCATCACTATTTTGATGTTCAAGTGGATGCCTGATCCCTCAGTAGCGTTTTCTACCGTTAGATGGGGACTACAGCAGGCTTGGGGACTGACCCCAAAGTATTATATTTATTTACATGCTGGAGGTTGGAGATGGTGCCAGTGATGGATGCAGACCCAGGATCATCACTGCTGTAAACCTGCCATCAAGCTGGGCCAAAGACAGTGGCATGGATGATCGCAAGACCTGCATGCGCAAGTCTGTAGCATCTGTGAGGCCATTTGAAGCTCAGCAAATCTGTGTCTTTCATAGGTCCACTGACACACAGCCATGTTCCCACATTAGCTCTTTACATATACTCTTTTTTTTTTTTTTTTTTTTATCTTTACATATACTCTTGTCTCTGTCTGGAGTGTTCTTCTCTGACAGCAGCCTTGCTCCCTAACCGGCTCAGGGTCCTGGCTCAAGTTTTACCATCTACCCTAATTAATGTTCCCCATACCCTGACTCTTTTCCTCGGTTGTTTTCCTCCATAGCATTTTGCCATCTCTTGTACTAGATATTTTACTTATTTACTTATTTATTTTTTTCCCCAAACTTGATTGTAAGCTCCACAAAGGAAAAACCTCCATGTATTTTGTTCATTGCTGGAGCTTCAGTGCCTAGGAGAGTGCCTGGTATATACGAAATATTTATTGATGGAATAAATGAAGTCATATGGGTTTATAAATTAATGGTCCATCTTAACGGTTTAGTAGAGAGCTGGTACTATTTTCCACTTTCCTGTTAATAAGGCTAACAACTCATTAGAGAAGCATGAGGTTTATATATATATATATATATATATATATATCCAAATTTGGTGAAAGAAAATGTGATGGATAGGAGTTCCTTTATGTTTTAGAAATTTTTTATGTAGTGCAAAAAACTAATACTGTTTAGGAATCATTCTGAAGAGTCATGTTAAATGAACCACAGTCAGAAGTAAGTTGATTTTCCATAGAAGTCCCCTAGTTCTCTCCTAATGAATTATTGGCAATTTTTTTTGGTCTTTTTTGAGACAAGTTCTCACTATGCAGTTCAGGCTGGCCTTGAGCTCACTTTGTAGCCCAGGCTGGTCTCAAACTCACAACGACCCTCCTGCCTCAGCCTCCCGAGTGCTGGGATTACAGGCGTGCGCCACCATGCCTGGCTTCAGAATGTTTTAAACATATCTTTAGCCCAAGACTTCCAAAAATGTTTTTATAGTTAAAATCTCATCCTACTACTAAACTGCTGCTCTTTTCTATGGAGTAATTTTACCCCAACAAATTCTATAAATGCCTTGCTTGGTTTGGATTAGAAAAGAGCTAAAAAATGGAAATGCCAAGGACAGAAAACATCAGAATCTTTGCCTGCCATGTTCCTGTCATAACTGAGCACCCTAGTAGCTTGCAGTAGTTTCAGAATAAGAGGACAACAACAAACAAATGAAACATGGCATTTGGAGCAAGTTGGAAATTCAAATCAGACTTCTTGCATTAATTCCTCAATACACATTCAACACACACTGCTATCATCCTGTGAGTAGAAGAAATTGTAATAGCTTGTCTGATAATTCACATAGCAGCCTATTTTCTTGGTTGAAATGAGGCTTTTTAATAAAGGCACCTGAAATTTGAAAATGATGAGCTTATGTGTCTCCTACTATCAAGAAAGACAACTCAGCTAGTCACTCACGGGTGGTTCAACAGGCCAAATCAAACCAGCTGGAAAGGAAGCAGACATGTTAAAACAAGCAATGAAAAAGAAAAAAAAATCAATCATTAAATAAATCTGCTCAACAAAATTGTATAATCTAGTTCTTTTTTTTTTTTTGGTACCAGAAATCAAACTCAGAACCTTGCGTTTGCCAGGCCGGTTCTTGTGCCGCTGAGCTATATACCCGGCCCTTGTATAATCTAGTTCTGTAAAATGTTCTAATTCCTTGATACGCGAGTTTAAAATATAAGAAAATGAAAACTGAACCACTTGACCTAACAAACCTCACACTAAGTTTTTTGCTACACAACCATATGAATTGTGTCATTGCCCACAACTCTGGATTCACTCCCCTCTGCCAGTCTGATTAAAACGATGATTCCTTTAAGCAGCACCCTCTGTCCTCTTTTATTATCTCTGGGACAGAGATCATGAGTGAGAAAAGTCAAAGAAACGTCTGGTCCCGTTGCAGTGGGGGCCTGAGTACCACACTAAGCAGCAGCAAAGGTTCTGGGAACCACACTAGCGACTTGTTTGGTGACGTGGCCTTCATAACGTACGTTTGCATCTCCTGAGCTGAGGCAGTGGTTTGGTTCTTCGCGGTGCAGCTGAAGGGCTGGAGCTCTCTAGTTCATCTGATTTAGCCTCCAACCACAGGGGTGTGCTTTTCTTTCAGAGAGTCACAGGCTCTCCACACTTACAAACCCAGGCAAGTTCCAGAGCAGAAAGGGCACAGCAGGCCTTTTGTTCATTTCAGGGTGCTATTATTAGTGTAATGCTTGAAAATTGCCTAGGATGACATTTGGGTAATGCAAGAATATACCAGCTTTTCTTTTTTTTTTTTTTTTTTTTTTTTGGGACAAGATCTTCCAATGCAGTTTAGGCTGGTCTTGTGCTCACTTTGTAGCCCAGGCTGGTCTTGAACTCACAATGATCCTCCTGCCTCAGCCTCCTAAGTGCTGGGATTATAGACGTGGGATACTACGCCCACCTAATAATCCTTACTTATGTAAATATAAATCACAGAAAAACCAGACACCTCTAGCCCTTAAGGTATCCACTATCACTGAGCCTGAGGCTATC